GTAGTGCAAGCTGAATCCTTGGGTTCCTTTAAATCAGAGCTAGATAAGATTTTAATAACTCTGAGCTCTCAGTTACATTCTCCCCAAGCGAGCTTGATGGGCCGAATGGCCTTCTCTCGTTTGTATAGTTCTTATGTTCTTATGAGCCGGAGCCAGGGGGACCGAAGGCGAGCCAGGGGGCAAGGTGGGTGGGACACGACCCCGGCGCAGGTGTCCTCTCCCTTTACTGGGAGAACGAAAGGCGGGGACCTGGCCGGGATCTACCATGTTGGGGTGTTGGCTGGGGCGACATCACTCCAGAGGGAGTCCGGGGGATCAGGGGCAGGGACTGGAACAGGCGGAGCAGGAACCTTGGGGGGTGGAGCAGCAATGGGTGGCGCAGGAACCTCAGGGGGCAGAGCAGGAACAGGCGGAGCAGGACCCTCAGGGGGTGGAGTAGGAACGGATAAAGCAGGAACCTCAGGGAGCGGAGCAGTAATGGGCGGAGCAGGAACCTCAGGGAGCAGAGCAGGAACGGGCGAAGCAGGAGTTTGCATCTTGGCAGCAGGCGTCGTCCATTTAGGGATCTTGGGGACCCGCAGGATAGCATCCCCAACTGACCTGGCCCCTTTAAAAGCCAGGTGTGTCCCTGAAATGGGGCGAGCCACTGGCACTGGCAGAGAAGGGGCGGGTAGGTACATTGCGAACCTATGCAACGTTACAGCAGTGATGCAGGCTTCGGGCACCCGCTCGGGCGAAGCAACGGAGGTGATGTCAGGGGTGAACACCGCCGGTTTGCAGCCTGTTTATGGGACTTGGGGACCCGCGGGATCGGATTCACAACTGACCTGGTCCCTTTGACAGTTAGGTAAGTCGGGTGCGGAACGGGGATGCAGGAGCAGGAGACGTAGGTTCGGGGAATAGGATTTTAATGGGTAACAGAGAGGAATACAGGGCTTCGCGAAGACTTCTCACAGATGCTAACATACAGTAAGTAACTTCAATGACAGGAAACATACTTGAACGTGGACTTAAATGCAGAGATTAAAATACACAGGATTGAAAACAGCTGGAAACATAGGGATTCCACACGAGGTTAACAAGGAGGTGTGGCACACAGGAGGGTTGGACGAGCAGGGCATGAAAGTGAGTGCCAATCTATGTATATTTTGAAGGGTTAGCTTAATCTAGTGGGGATGCATATTGAGAATTAGTCAGTTAATAATATTTTTTTTATTCCAATTAATTGCATGCACAAGTTCCTCTTTGCCATGAAAAATCCCAAAAAAACCCATTTCACTGCATTTCAGCCCTGCCACAAAACGACCTGCTGACATAATTTCAGTGCATCTCTCGTTAACACAGGTAAGACTTGACAAGGACAAGACTGGAGATCACTCTGTCATGCTGATTTAGTTAGAATAGCAGACTGGAAGCTTTAAAAGGATGGTGATGCTTGAAATCATTGTTCTTCCTTTGTTAACCATGGTTACCTGCAAGGGAACATGTGTAGGTGAAGCAATACTGTATAAAAGCAATAACATATGAGAAGGAGTGTGGTTGTACTACAATATATCATGGCTGTGATTATCTTCGGCACTCGGCCTGCAGCCTCATGCCTACGACCAAATCAAAGCCATGATATGTTGGAGTATAACAACACTCCTTCTCGTATGTTATTGCTAAAATATAATATAATTGGACTGATCTGTGTTGGAGGCCCAGTGTGATGCCTTCATGGGGCCCAAAATCACTAGTAGCACTCCTGGCTTCGGCGATATCATGGCAATATTTATAGCATACTGTGGTATTTTCGTTCAGTGAAATTTCTCATAAGGGAACCCCCACCTTCACATGCTCAATGTAGTTTATTGTGGGGGATCTCCCCCCCTGCACCAAGATGCTGAAAAGGCATTGTGTAATGAATGTGACTCAGTGGTTCTGGGTTATTAGATTTGTTATCCTGCAGAAAACAAGGTCTGTGACAGAGAACCTCAACCTGGGCTGCCCATCCGTCATGCCAGGTCTTCTGCCCCCTGGCCCCTGAGACCAACAGTACCAACACTGCTGGCAACAAGGAACCAGGGGGGACTTGGCCCCTGACTCCAGGCTGAGGTGGACCCGAAGGTAGATTCAGTTGCAGAGGACTGGAGAATGCAAACCAGAATCTACGGAAACCTAAATGGGGCAAATACACAAAAACCAGGACACGCACACATAGAAAAGCTTAAAGGCTTAAAGACAGGACACCAGCGGCACAGCGCACCAGAGGCACAGCACACCAACTGTGGGATGCTGGCTACTTGGGACCATGAATCCCTAAACTAGAAACTGGCCAACCAGAAGCCCAAAGCACAAATGCCTATCAAGAAGGACCATGGCCCTCAAGCCACCTTAACCACCAAGCCAGTACCTCCTGACCACTGACAGGCAGAGGAAACAGACCTACACCATCCAGCCCAATGAATCAAACCTTTGCCACTGACCCTTATGCTCCAAGAGCAACTGCTTACTGGTCTGCTTAAATAAGATTGGGCTCCACTTGCCACCAGCCCAGATCCTGCTAGCTCAATTAAGTGATTACTAAACAGGCACTGATGTGATGTGTTGCTTTTAAAAATATCATCTAAATACTGTAAACTGCGGTAAAACATATGACCGGTATGAAAGATAAAATTCTGCCCAAACCTAGTGTAGGGGGCTACAGGCAGCGGTTATGGGGCGTGGGAATCGTGATTGATATATGTAAGCGCACACATACCTGTCAGACACAATCGCTGTATCGTACTGTATCGCACGCTGTGGACGCGGAATGGAGAGGTCTGACCTCCAAATGGGTAAACCCCCCCCCCCCTGCCTGCCACGACAGTTTAGAACTCATTTGAAGCTGTTTTTGAATCTTGCTGCTTTTCTGTGTCTAATCTTGGTTCAACCAGGTTGCAACGAATAAAATAAAGAGCCTGTTTACAGTCGAAATAGATTAAATTCCATTTTATTGCAATTACAAATAAAACGACGATCTGCGCAGTTTGACGAAAATACCATTTAAAGATTGCTTGCAGGCGACCTGTGCATCCTGGGCTAGGTGATGACTTCAGAACATGGATATGTGTGAGTTAGATGGTTGCGTTAACATGTAAAGTAAGCAATATGCAGTTTTTTTGCTCCCCCCCCCTCCCCCCTCGCCCCCAGCGCAAACATCAAACTCTTATGATTCAGGATGAGAGCCATGGTTCACCGCTGACCTCTCAGACATGCGATGTTCAATGGTGACATTCACTTACCGCGATCCAGCCGCCCCTTTAACTACCAAGCTCCGGCCCCCTCGTGAGCGAATGTGCAGCCCAATGAAACGGGAGGTCGAGGATGCTGGGAACGGTAAGCGGGGGGAAGCCTGGATGCTGGATTGAGCTGGTGCTGAAGGGGAATTACCGTTCGTAAGGTACCTATAATTCATTTTCTTGAGGCGTGCTTTAATCAAACGATATCTGCAGATCATACCCAAACGATGTTTCGATTGATATCGATCGTTTGATGCTTAATTGTGGAAAGGCTTAATAAATACATATATGCTTGCAAAAATCATCTTCCTTTCTGTGGTCGTAGAGTCCCACAGTGGAGGACGTATGACTGAAATTAGCATTCGTTTCCTTTTTCGCCCATCCAAAACGCTGTATTTCTGCTGATTTGCTGTTAATTCATATTAAACGCAATGTCTTGCGTTGTATGTAAATTTATCAAAAATTACATTGACAGAAACTATAATTAAGTGAATTGCGGCTTTTATTATCTCCCGGGCAACTATCCACACCATTGAAATGTAACGTTTAGGTGCCCCCGTAGTGGAGCTGTATGTCATATCTGTAAGAAGCATCGATGTAGAAATTAATGGTTTATATGTATGATATGTGTTTCTGAAAAACCAGAAAACAAAATACCAAAACATACGTTGAACGCAACGTAGTGATTAGTGATTATGCATTGTATAGATTTAGTCATAGAAATGTGGAATACACACACACACACACACACACACACACATATATATATATATATATATATATATATATATATATATATATATATATATAACATGGAAACGGGATCTCAACAGTCGTATCCTGTAAGCTGTTTATTGCTACCAAGTATAAAATGTCAGTGGCTTATTCCAAAAATATTCTAATAGTACGCTGTCGACCTTGTCTAAGTGCTTAATAAAAACAAATCCACTGTTTGATATATAATGTAATATTGGCAATGATTTGCAATTTAATTATTGGGAATTATTACTATAGCTTAGAAGATGAATTCAAAATTTGATCGCGTAAACGATGGCATGTCCGATTTAATGTTGGATGTTCTTGGCTTTGGAGCTCGGACATAAATTGGTGGATTGGTGGTAAACGTGAATCATGCAGCTACTTCCATGAGTAGGCTATAACCGCTGAGACAAAAATCATAGCACACTAGCAAATTAACTAAAAGTGGCTGACTGAAATCCTCGTTACGTGCCTTAGAGTCGTAAAAAATCAATTCCCTTGCATTTACTTCTGATACAAGTGACTGCGCTTTCACTACGATAAAACGTGAAGCCACTTTTGAATGAAAGGTTATCCAACAACGATCTAAAAATCACTGCAGCAAGGGCGGTAGGATGTACTGTAACAATTGGTCATATAGGGAATATATTATTTTACGAAAGCTCGTATTCGATCGCAAGAAATTTAATTTACGGTATATTTCCGATGGTCGGCTAGCTGGTGCTACCTGATGAATTGTCGGCAAAATGGTATAACAATTAGCCAATAAAAAGCCTCGGTATCCATATGGTGACATTACTTATTGCATTGACGTATTTGTTTTATTATTTATTATTATTTAATTATAAGGGTAGTTCGAGGTTGTGAAATATGCACCTCACCCAGTCTTTTTATTGTTTAAACCCAAACTAACCTAACCACGACTATAGTAAAATAATATTGATCAGCCTGTACTCCAGTTAAATAGCTCTCTCGACTATTTGGTTTACTGAGGGAACCGTAGATTTACTGAGGGGATTTTCGAAGCAGCGTCGAAATTTCATTTTGTCTGATACAAACAGAGCAACTGACACGTTCCTCTAGCAATTTTACTACACTGTATGTTCTTCAGTTACTAGCCTACTTACTGCAAACGAACCTGGCATTATTTCCTGTACATGACGTCTGTTTGGTGTCTTTATTTTCAGCATTGCATTTCTAATCACAGCATCAGTTGCAGCTTTTGATTTGCACATAGTCTGAACTAGGGAGTAACCTTAGGGTCGATGGCTGTTTTCTTAATTGGGTGTCTATCATTTGAAGCTCTATTTTCTTTTTTTACAAAGTCGAACTAAATTCGACGCTATAAGCTTTCAGATCTATGTTTTCCATTCATTTGGTGTGCTTAGTCAAAATTAATTAGACCAAAATTTGTTCATGGCAAATTAAAGTACCTCATGATGTTTTAGATTTTCAAGAAACGTAGTGTGGAGCTCAGCGACTTAAATTAAGGGAATAAGCAATTCAATCCACATAATCTCAGTAACAATGTTGTATTGTGTGTTATTAATCGATACTTTATTGATCCCCATGGGGAAATTGTCTTTACACCTCCCTGAATTGGCTCTTTTTTTTGCAGAGTAAGTTGTCTGCGAATTATATGGATTATTTTGAAATGTGTGGCTTCTTCTTATCATTGTCTAATCAGCAATAAGATGAGCTCAGAACATCACTAACCTAAAATACATGTGGTACAGTGATTAAGTTCTTTGTCCAAGCACATATGTTTATCTGACTAGCATTTGTGCAGGTGAAAGCCACAGTATTGGTGGCAAGCTACCTCCACTGACAGATATGGAACAATATCACTACTATTATACACATGCCTGTGAAGTACATACCATCTCGATACTGGTATCGAGATGATTTAAAAAAGCCTAGTTTGAATTCATCATAGTCAGCTGATGTTGATTCCTGTACAAACATACTTTAATAAAGGTAATGAGTGCTGGAATACAGTGACTAACCACAGTCTGCTGCTATACTGTTAAATGTGATGTCTCCCCTTGGTATATCTTCAGTAGGCTTCAGTTTGGTTGTGTAAAGTCCAGTGTCCTTGTCTTTTTTGCTTGTGTTTTTAAAGACTTTTTTCCTTTCCAGGTCTATATGCATCACTCTCCTCTTTCCAAGGGCTAAGATGCTCTAAGCAGGTCTGCTGAAAAGTGAAATAAAGCACAACCCTCCAGTCTGAATACTGTTCTGCTCTCAAAGGATTTTTCCCAGTCTTGGAGATGTATGGGAGCACTAGGACCATGGGGCACGTGGAAGGCAGTCCCTCACGGTCCCCCCGCCTGCCGAGGTCACCACGCCTGGGCCATCGGCGGGCTGCTAGTAGTGGGGGTGGGGGTGGTAAGACGCTATCTATGGAGAATATCCAGTCCTTGAATGCAGCTTATGCGACCTCTGGGCCCACGTACCTGAGTGACCATGAGGGCCTTGGTTCCACCACATACCCCAAAGCCATGGTGGGTTTGGGTCGTGCCTCGAGTCGCGCTCTTCATGGTTCGCGTGTCACTGCCATGGGCAGCAGTCCCAACATCGCCACCATGGGGCTGCCTCACGCCGATCCCATGTCTTATGGTGACCTGGGCTCCCTCTCCATGCTTCAGCACCATCACCACCACCAGGGGGTGCCGGCAGGTCTGAGGCCGGCCCGCGATAGCGGCGTGCTTGACCTCCAAACTCAGCTCAGGGAGCTACAGAGAGACAACGAGCTCCTGCGCCGAGAGCTGGAAGCAAGGGAGGGGAAGCTCATCTCAGCTTCTGGAACTGGCACCCGTGGCTTCTGGAGCCCGGAGTTGAAGAGGGAGAGGGGAGTACGCAAGGAGGAGGTGGCTCGTGCCTCCTTGCTGAGGGAGCAGATGAGAGTGGCCCATGAGGAGAATCAGGTGAGCCATCTTACTGCCATTCTCATTCAAGGTCTCTACTACCACCCCCGTCTGTATTACAAAATTACCAGCTGTCGCACTCCCTCATCCTACTGAGACACGGCAGCTGTGGCCCCCTCGTCCTTCCCACGTAGGCATCCGTAGGCCCCTCATATTTGTATGTGTTGTTCTTGCAGACTGTGTGAACATATTGGATGAAACAGCAGTGCGTTAGTCATTGGTATGCTGTGTGATGTCGATACTCGCCACAGCTGAGTTAGCGTGGATGCCTTCCCTGGCGCCACAGGGCAGTCACGGCGGGTAAAAGGAGACCGAACGCGGGTAACTGAGAAGCAGCAACGTACAGCCGGCTTTAAGGGAAACTCCATGGCATTTCTTGGTCATCAGCACAATAGTTACAGTTAGCAATAGATTATAAAAACAGCAAATCATTCTAGCATCAGTTGGCCTGTTTCTTGCAGTTTCTAAATACTACTTAAAGTGTACTTTAAATGTTCAGAATATTTTCTAGAAATAAAACAAGTATTTTTTATGCAGGTGAAAAATAATAGATTAACGTAGAAAAGTATTTATAAACAAACCATACATATGACCATACATTTTGATTGTACTAGAACTATACTAGTACTGATAGCCAAGATGGATGTTTGCAGAGTATGAATACGGGTGCCCATGAAGTCAGGAGATCCATGCTGAAAAATATTCCTCTGACAATAAGTTCTGGTATACTACAGGCAGTGTGAAGTGTGTGTAACATGTTCCAGGACAATACAGCCACTCTGTCAGGCATCTCTGTAAATGATCCCATGCTTTAGTGTGATTGCTTGTCAGGGCCTTCAGACATTTACATTATACTTTATTTTTTGTAATGATCGCATCTAGAACAACTTGCATGCCTGTTATAGGAAATTCAGTACATTAAGTGTCAAAGAACAGCACACATCAGCAGAACAAACTGACAGTATTAGCTAGTCACACAGTGTATTAGATAGTTAATCAGTACAAGCATCAGATCAATCAGCCAATAAATACAGTTCAGTAGCTGGTACATCAAATGCTGCATAGGTAGAATTCTGGGACGAGGGCCTATTCTTGTATGAATTGCATATGACTGTAGTAATGGATACTTACGGTCCCTTCTAGAACTAAAGCTCTCTTTCTTTAGCTCACAAGTTAAATTCCTTAACCCACAGTTTTTTTTTGCATACATTTTATAGTAAGATTATTTATATATGTTGGTGCAACCGACAGGTACCTTGTACATATGTTTGCATACTTAATAAATTTCTTTTCATTAAGCAGTGCAAGATAGCACTGTTTTGATTTTGATCAGAGAATACAATAACTGAATGAAACATGATGAGTGTGCAAGACATGAAGTGTTCCAGACAAATTTGTATTTAATTGTTCTGTTCATAGATGTAATTTAAATGCCTGATTCATATAAACACCATTTATATGCTTATAAGAAGGTTTTACCTGACAAATACAGTAAGTTCTTTAATAAAAAAAACACTTAAAAAGTAATAATACCCTAAAAATTGTGTTTACTGTGAGAACATATAAAGCACCCTAGATTATTGTACGTTCTGCTTTTGCATAGTCTAATATTAGTAGATCTGGATGTCATTAAGGAAAGGGGTTTAGTTAATGGCCTAATGATATTTTTGTAACATTATAAAGGAGATGACAGTTATTATTAACAGGCTGTAGCAGTCCTATTATAGGAATCATTAAGGATTTATAAAGATCTAAAAATAGCTGACTAGCTAATATGTGGAACCAGAACTTCCAGCTAAAGACTAATTATACCTTGGCCTGTTTGTTTTATGTTGATGTAGGCATATGTCTGTTACAGGTTATCGGTATAATAGCAAAAGAGTTAAAAGACTTTAAAAAGTAGAATAATATTATGTGCTGGGCAAAACCACCAATACTTAACATGCGATTTAAATCAGAAACGTTTGAGAGTGTACACCCATAGCTCTGCCCCGGGCAATAACAGGAATACCTCTGCTTTATGGAAAGGTCCAGGAAGCGTGATGCTCCTAACTGATGTAGCCATCTTCAGAGACCACGTCTGAGTCTCCTTCCTCCTGCTGTCTGTGATTGCTGTCAGCTGCTATTAAACAACCACTCTGTGTTCCACCCAATTGGATTTGCCAGTTTTGCGTGACAATGCCATTGACATTTGTAAGAGTATTATGTGATCATGGCCTATGAAGGTGTGAGGAAATTATGTTCTTCATATTTTGGATTGGATTTCTGGGTTCTTGAAAAATCTTCTTTAAAAATTCTTTTTGAAAAAGTGTTATATTAATTAAGCAGATTTGACAAGCTGTTTAAATAATTGGCTGTTCCAAACAACAATAACAACAACAACAATAATAATAATAATAATATTAATAATAATATCCCTGTCACACTGACCAGGACAAGCAGTTGGAAGACAGATGGATGGATGGATGGATGGATGGATGGATGGAGGGATGGATGACAAATATGCCTCCACATCTTTATCATGCCATTGTGTTCCAATTCGAAAGCCCCATAGGATACTCCAGAATGCTGAGGGCGTGAAGTGAGCTGCTATCTTACCTGCAGTACTGCCTGTCATTCTCTTCTAGAAGGATATTGCTGCTGTACTGTGATTGCTGGTATTGAAGGGTTTCACTTTAAGGACAGCATGCAATTGTAGGAATGATTTAATGTTCTACTTTACATTTTATTATAATGATTCTGAAGAAGATGAAAAACATAAATGTAGATTTGACTAAAATTTGTCATTGTTTTGTGTACATTTGCAAAAAAAAATTACTTCTGGTAATAAGAATGAATGGAATGCTTAAAAAAAGAATATGACAGAAAACATTAATTTTTCATAGCTATCCCATCCATCTATCCACCCTTCCATCCATCCATCCCTCCATCCTTCCATCCATCCTTGTCAGTGGTACAGGGTATCTGTCATCCAACATCAAAAATAAACATGATATTGCATTTTTGTAGGTATACTTAGTTTCCCTGAGCATGCAAAAACATTCCAGTATTGGAAAGTAAAGCACTTCAGGTAAGAGCATCGCCTAGATAACATGACAGTAATCAAACACAGCCTTATTAGCCAAAGTCCTGGGAAGGAAAATCATTTACTAAAATAACTGCTGCTTGGACCTGAGCTACTCTGTAAATGCAGAGTCTGTTTTTCAGGTCTAGTAGGCTCTAATCTAATAGCTTATAGAATAGCACTGGAAACAGTGTCTCAGGCCATGAATGTCTTTCTCTGTTGGATAATTTTAATTTAGGGTTGTAGGATAGAGCAGTGTTTAGTAGGTTTAATGACAGAAGCTCAGAGCTCCGTTTTCTCCCTTTACGCTCCCTGTTTTGACATTTGATGTGTATGTGTGCGTGTTTGTGAATTTCCGTGCATCTGTGTTTGCCGATTCTGTTTGTGTCTTTTCGGGTACATATGTATTGACAGCTTTTCTGGGCATCACCCTGAGGTGAAAACTGTCACTGAAGCTGTCACAGAAACACTGATAGAAATGTCCCTGGCACACTAGAGAAGACAACAACCATTTGTCATGAATTTATCAGGACAAATCATTCATAAGAAAGCATCACCAAAGCGACTTGTAGTGTCAGATATTCTCATCCGAAAGTCTACCGGACAAAGTGCTTTGCTCAAGGCCATTAAAGCAGTGTCCCAGTTGAGCTGGAAACCAATGACTTGTTCTCAGATGAAGTTGCATTGTGGTAGAGATGGTCTATATTCTCATGGGTTTCTGATTTGGGTCACCAGTCACTTCTCTTTACGCTTCCCTACCTAATTACCTTCTTCGTCTGTATCTGCATCTTATTTTATAACCACTGGAACAGAACAAAGCTAAGTTGGAATATCTCACCTACTGTACATTCTCCTACTGTGAGACATGACTTTACTTGTCATGATTTAATGCTTGATGTGACTTCTGTCATTCCTGGCAAACTAGTTTCATATATTAAACACATAGCATGTAAGCTCAAATCATTAGCTGTTTATATGTATGGAGTAATGCTTCTAATTATACGTTATTATTAACAGTTGTCTCAACAACATACAACTCTGGAAAGATACCACTCTATATTTTTAAAAAATCTGCATTTTTAAATCATGGTTTAATTCTAGTTCTGCTGCCAAAAGGCTACATTGCAAAGCATCTGCTTCCAGGCTCAAAGTTTCTAAAACAGCAGGACACAAGAACAAAGTGAAGCAAGAGACACTTGGAACAACCAGAAACCACCAAGTAGAGGGCAGAAGCGACTTTCTAATGCCAGAGATGAGCATCAACTTATCTGGCAGTGCCACATGAAACGGGAGATAACCTCAAGTGACCTTCAAAAAGAATGGGAAACATTAAGTGGTGTGAACTACACTGCTAGGGCAATTCATAACAGGTTCCTAGAAACATTACTGAAGACTCATAAAGCATGGAAGAAGAGCTTCATCAATGACATGCAGGGAAGAGCCAGGCTGGAGTTTGCAAAAAAACAGAATGTATATTTTACACAGGCGCATACCCATAAGTTGAGAAATGAGTGAAACTAAAGATTTTGCTGTGGTCTGTTAATTTTTTCCAGAGCTGTATATCTGTATCTGTAGAACTTAAATTAAATGAAAGTTGCCATGTAAAACAATATGGCCACCACAAGGCAATTAAATTACAACATTAAAAATGCTTGATGGTTTAAACCATGGTGTTTTTTGCTTCCACATACCAGTGTAGTGCTTTATTCATTTAAAACTATGGCATTAAATGAGAACAACCACAAGAATCTCAAGTTTCAGGTCAGTCACATATTTTCATACTAAACCTAAAGTATATGAATCAATATGGCAGCCATTGTGTTGGTTCACTAAACAATACGAATGCCATGGTAACCTCTCATCAACATGCAGCTCAAAGGACATGCACCAAAAATGGAGCTTATCAGTATAATGAAAGAATAATGTATGTAAATGT